GAGATCCCTCAAGACAACAAGCAGCAGAATCTGGTGGGTAAAAACCCCACTCTCTTGCCACTTGATGAAACAATCCTCAAGTATGCCCTCCAGTTGCTCAGAGGGTCCCCGTGGGACTGAGTGACCTGCTCACTGACACACCTGCAGTGCCTTCCTCTCCCTGCCTCCTTCATTCCTCTGTCTCTCCACACAGCTTGGGATCACCTCCCAAATAAACTGCCTGCACCTGAGTCCCTGTCTCAGGGTCAACTTTTGAGGGAGCCCAGAGCACGTGTGGCAGAGCGAGCTGAAGTGGCGAGGACAGCGGTCCTGGGAAGAGCACCCGGGCAGAGGCTGTCGCTTGGGTAAAGCGATGGCGAGCAGGAGGTGGCGTGGCATTTGGCGTGGCATTTGGACGACACCTACTCTTTGGTCCCAGGACTTCGTTACGGCATCCTTGTCCAGGGGGTGAAACGCTTCAGTCACCTTTCCCTGACCTCCCAGAGGTGCTGGAAGAGGAGAGGGGCGGGGAAGACAGCAACGCCTTCCCAATAGGTGCCTCAGGCCTGAGCCCTTGGGGACCAAGAAGTTGGCTTGGTTCCTTCTGAGAATGAGTTGCTCAACGATGAAGGAACTTTCCCCGATGTCCTGCCTTTGTCCGTGATTTGGGTCTATGTAAATATTTGGAAAAGGTTCTCTTGGACTTATAGGAACTATTACAGTGGGAAATGGTGAATTGAAGCCTATGGGAGGCAATGTAAAAGCAGTGATTAAGTCAAACAGACTAACTAGTTGTGTGCTCCAGACTAGTCAGCCCCTGTGAGCCTCAGTTTCTCTATCTGTAGCATGGGAATAACATTCAGAACCTGGTAAGAAATCAATATGATAATACATATGGTGTGAGGCTCTGCCTGTAAGTGCTCAACTTAAATAGGCGGGTGGTCATCGGCCCCACCCACCTGACTCCGTGTGGCTCCCTCCTGGGCAGGGCTGTAAAACCTGGGACAGACTGAGTGCTGTGGCTGGGGGCAGGGGCCCAACACCCACCTTCCTCAAAGCCTGACCGGGACAGACTGAGTGCTGTGGCTCGGGGCAGGGGCCATTTCCCCCTCGCACACCTGAGCAGGGTAGAGCCCTCTTTTCACACAGCCAAATCTTGGTCTGTTTGAGCCTGATAAACTCTGCTGGTCTCACCCTGGCGACTGCCTGAGACCCTACCCTACCACAAAGGTGAGCGAGCACCCAGAGGATGGCAGCTAGACTCGGTCTACCCAGGGAGTTTTGCTGAGTGGCCTCAGACCCCGCACTGGCACCGAGTTCGAATCTATATCAAGCTGGCGAACACCACTCGCCCCGACCTGGTGACTCACTGAGAACCGTCCTCACGCAACTCAAGCACCACAAGAGGCTCTTGCAGTGACTGAGCCTAATAGGCAGCCAGCAGGCGGGGACAGGTGGAGGCAGATCTCAGGGTACCTTTGGACTTTTGCTGACCTGCCCCCAGCCTTGATGCACAGCTTGGTCCTTCCCACACTCACCGAGGCCCAGCAGAGAGCCACAAACTGTGGATCGCTTTGTAGCTCCAAACAGGTTGCCCAAGGCCAGTCACAGGCAGAGTCGAACACTGGCCTACGTAACAGTCCCTCCCAGAGGCCCAGAAACAACACACCCAGTGGCCAGCTTCAGACATCAGAGCAGGATCCAATAAGCTTCACAGGTGGCAGGTCCAAAGGGAGATCTCAGCAGGCACCAGACCCTGCCAAGGTGAATTCTGCTTCGTGTGCTCAGCACCCACAGAGCGGTTCGCACACCGCGGTCAGGGCTGAGCCTTCCCGCCAGCCAGCCTGAGAGTCTCTACCACACACGAGTGAGCCAATAGCAGCCAAGGCTCAGTTACAACAGGCGGGCACACATCACCCAAACAGGGGACATCCCAAAGACATGGGGGCTAAATAACATGTTACTAAACAATGAATGGGTTAACGAGATCAAGAAAGAAATTAACAATAATAATGATAATGATGATAATAAAAAGGGGATGGTGGAGACAAGCGGAGTACGCCCACTGGGGAAACCTGCCACCTGGGTGAGACTGTAAGCAAAGTCAGCCATGCAAGGTCTGCCACCAGGCTCTCAGCTCAAAAGCCCAAGTGGGCAGCCAGCCCAGGGTGTGTCTGCTTGGGTTTGATGTGAGCAGAGCCAGAACACCAGAGCTGTCCACAGGGCGGAGCTCAGAGGTCAAGCCAGCCTGTCCAGTCCAGGCCCTTGCCGCTGTTGGTGAGCTAGACAGCCAGCACCGTTGGCTCACAGGCCTGGGGCTCTGGGCAAGTGCAGGGCAATGGCCTCGGGGAGTTCTGCAACCAGGGCCTCTCCAGACCTCTTCCCCCACTGGTGTACATAGGAGCACCCCAACATTGCTCCCTGGGAACCTCTTTTATAGCCCTGCATTGGGGACCAACTTCCTTTCTCCTTAGGGTCTCTATTCATATACGTAGATTTAGCTCCCTCTCACCTGGACTCCTGCCTGAATTCAAACCCCTGCTGCCCTCAGGTGGTCCACTGCCTCTAGGGTAGACCTGGTTGAGAGAAACTGATGTTTTAATTGACCTGCTGGGTGCTCTCTGTGCCCAGTGAACCAAGCAAAGGCAGCGGTTATACACACCCACTGGCCAACACACTGGTCCCCTCACCCTCCCACCTTTCCCTTGACTTTTCTCTTCCACTTGGCCTCCTGTGTTGTTCATGGCACAGAGTTTCTACCGCGGGGGCCTGGGCTCCCTGGGTGGTGACTGTACCAAACAGGCCTCTCCCTGCCCCCACCTGGCCCCAATAAAGGAATGCTGAGCTACAAGGATAATTTTGAGGCTTTGGGTGGAGAAAGCCAAAAAAGGAAATCTCCTGGGACGTGCAATTATCCAATAAACCCACCATGGGAGTTCTGAGGCATCCTGTATTTTCTCAGGGCTGGTCAGATAAGGACTGACAGGAGGGAAGATCCATGCAGCTCTAGTCTCGGAGTCTGTGTACACATGCCTAAGCCTGGGGGAGGGGTGTGCAGATCAAAGGCCCTCAGACGGAATGACCAGTCCTGGAACGCAAGGGGAGCAAGGCCTTGTCTGCTCTGGACAGACATGCTCTAAACAAAGCTCATGTAGTGTCACCAGGGTTTCAGGGAGATGGGGGGCTCTTGGTAACCAGGATTGATAACCCCAGCCATGAGGCGGAAATGTTCTCTCTGCATTTCTATCCTATTTATTCCCACCAAGTATTAGAAACAAAGCTCCACGCTATCACCATAGAAACCAAACCAGGCCTCTTGGGGATGCCTGGATCTGATTGGAGCCTGCCCTTGCTCCCAGACTCTGCAGACCCTTCTCTGGCCACTTTCCCCTGTAAATTTCTGCAGCCTTTCCTATGGACTGGGGTACCTTCCTTCTTTGGGCCACAGGGCTTCCTCCTCATACGGGCTCACCATTCACCCTCCGAGCACCCCAGAAAATGGAAAGTACCTGGCAGGAAATCAGATTCCTGGGAGGTGACTGAGTCACCTCTGCCTCACTGCGTCCATCAGCCCTCAGCCCTCACCTTGGCCAGGAGAGCTGACTCCCTCCATTTCTCAGATAAAGATGGGGGAGGGTTGAGAAGAGGCACCAGGCCTGGAAGGGGGCAGGTCCAGTACCAGAGTGGGAGGAGGAGACAGGCAGTGAGGGTGTTGGCTAAAGACCACAATGTGAGGAGGGACGTGCAGGGATTGAGGCATCTCAGGTCCTATCAGTGGCTGGGATAGGGGTTGGGGGCAGGGACATCTGGAAAATAGGCCTCCCTTTGGAATTCAGAGCTGAGCTGCTGCGGAAGTCACTGGCTCCTGGTACCTATAAGACAAGAGTGAAGACTACAAACAGGAATCTAGGAGTGCCACACTCCAAAAGGACAGCTTCCAGTGAGTATGACACACTGCCGGACACATGAATTGCTGGCTCAGTTTCTGGGCTCTTTCTCACTGCCTGGACCCCACAATAGCAAGAGGGAGGCCTGGGTAGTAGCTCAGAGACCTAGCAGCCAGCAGAACTAGCTGGGGCAGGAATACACACCTACAGAAATGGGGGAATATTAAGGAGTGATGTCAAGGCCAAGGCTTGATTGGAAGTAGCTTTGCTGCTCCCAAACCAGTCCTCTGCTGCCTGATCTACCCCTACCTGATTTCCCAGTTGCCCTGTGAAACCCTGGGTATTCCAGAAACTTCACACCTGGCAACTCTCAGCCATCCCCCCTGGGCATGGCTAACCTCAGGAGCCTTGGTCTTGTTGGGACCAAGTTGGGACCAGGAAAGGTTTGACTTCAGGTTCCCAAGCCTCACAGCTGTCTGGGGGCTCCTTTCTTCCCTGGAAGCAACCATGAAGGCCCTCCCAAGAAAGAGACATCATAACTTATTTTAAAATGTGACCTGCAAACCAGGTCACATGCAAACCAAGATTCACCTGATGCTGGACATTTCTAAGGGGAAATGGGCACAACTGAGATTTGTTGGGACTGACAAAATCTTCCTCAAGTCCCATCTTTATGCTCTAGCAGAGCTATTTCCCTGAAGTCATTCACTGGCTCATTATAATAGATATTTAAGTAGTAGCAACTGCCACATGGGAGTTTACAGCGATAAAGAACAAGTTTCCTTCCCTCCAAAAGCTCATGAAATGGGGTTAGTGGGAGGTTCCCACTCAGATGGGGCAGATGAGGGAGGCCTTCCTCAGGAGGTCGCTGGGGGTTACCATCCACAGAATTGGAGGGAATTACAGGGAAGGGGGCATCGCTGGGAGAAGGAAGAGCAGGAAGTGTAGGTGGGGGAGGTGGAAGGGGAAAACAGGCTGGGGCAAAGTCACAGCACACCCAGTAACGCTGGGGACCGTCCAAGATTTGTGCTCCTCCTCAAAGCCCGGTGGTAGGGGGACACATTTACTCTTCTTTCGGGGTGTTTCTTCTGGATTTAATGGGCCGTCATGTTGTTCTCTCCTCAGCCACGCACCATGTGGTTGGCCCTGCTGCTGCTGCTGCTGCCCACGGCGCTGCGCCTGAGCCTGGCAGGGCCTCTCCAGGAGAGTGTCCTCCTTTTCCGGCTCACTCAGCAGGGTCCCTGGGGAAGCGGGACCAGCAACGCCACCGGCTCGCCCTGCGAGGGGCTCTTTCTCACGGGGGCCACGACCTTGACCCTGGAGAACCGCAACCTGAAGCACCTGCCGGGCTGCCTGCCCCGCGCGCTGCGCAGCCTAGACGGCAGCCACAACCTGCTGAGCGCCCTGGGAGCGTCGGAGCTCGGCCACCTGCCGCAGCTGCAGGAGCTGACGCTGCGCCACAACCGCATCAGCGCGCTGAGCTGGGGCCCCGGCTGGCCCCCGGAGCTGCACGCACTGGACCTCAGCAACAACCAGCTGGTCGCCCTGCCGCCGTGCGCCAGGCCCGCGCTGGGCAGCCTCCGAGCGCTGGAGCTCTCCGGGAACCCCCTGCAGGAGGTGCAGCCCGGGGCCTTTGATTGCTTTCCCGCCCTGCGTCTGCTCAACCTCTCCGACACCGCGCTGGGCAGCGGCGCCCAGGTGGGCATCGCTGACGCCACCTTCGCGCCCCTGGCCACTCTCGAGGTCCTGGACCTCAGCGGCACGCTCCTCAAGCAGGGTGAGTCCTGGGCGCCCCGGGTTTTCAGAGGTGGACTGGGCATGGGCTCTCGGGACCGGCTTCTTCGACGGGTGGTATAACCCAGGTGCCTTGCTCACAGTGCTGCTCAAAATTAACCCCGCCTGAATTTCCGGAGCCAAGAGCACCGCGTTCGAAGCCCCATCCAGGACTCATTCCTTGAGTCCCAAGAGGTGGGCACTATTATCTGGGTTTTGTGTATGAGGCAATCAAAGCCCAGAAAGGCGAATGACTGGCCCGAGGTGTCACAGCTCACGAACTGGTGCTCCAAATCCAAGCCCAAGCATTCTGGGTCCAGATCCCAAACCTTGAGCCCCGCGGTTCTACTGCGACGCAGCAGAGCTGGAAATGCTGGTAGAATGGGGAGGTGGATGCTTGCTTTGGGGCTGATTAGAATCAAACGGAGCTCAATGAAGCCACTGATGCGCTGAGAATGAATTCAGGGACTTTTCTGCTTGATTGGCTAAAATTCTGTCTGCAAGTGTTAATTCCTTCAAACAAGACACAGGAGGGAGGAGAGACCAGCTTTTCTGTACTTAGTGTGTTCTGACTCTGGTTCACAGGGTTGGTTTTTACTATTAAAACAAACAAACAAACAAAACCACCACTTCATATGTCTAAAATCACCCGTTCCACCATAGACCATGAAAGAAAAGAGCGAGAACTGGAGACAGAGGAAAAGGGACACATTCTCGATCTACCAGGAGAGCCACAAAATTAGGTTTTGGGGCCTCCCCAGTCTTGCCCGTCTCTCCTCTTCCCTTACCTCCCCCCAAAATGCCCCTCTAGTAGCCATTGGAGTGAAGTTTGGGGTGTTTCTCTGAGGACTTTAACAAGCGGGTAGGGCAGCAATGGAGTTGGAGACAGTGTTCTGGGTCAAGTCCTGGCCCTGTCCTTTCCTAGCTGTGTGGCCTTGGGCCAGTCATTCTCCTCTCTGGCCTCAGCCATCTCAGGCTGAAAGGCAGGATTGGTCTTTCACTGAAACAACCCATGCTTCGGAGATTCCTAAAGTTGCCAACTATGCCCATGCTCAGCAATGACCTTCAGACTCGCCTTGTCACTCCCGGTGTTTCTGTACTGCTTGCCAGCCTCCTAGGTGGGTGTCTTCCTGGGCAGTGGGCAGTTTCCCTCTGTGTTTCAGTTCAGTCTGGGTGGATCAGAGACCTGCCCAAGCTCACGTCCCTCTACCTGAGGAAGATGCCCAGGCTGAAGAGCCTGGAGGGGGACATTTTCAAAATGACCCCTGACCTACAACAGCTGGATTGTCAAGATTCCCCAGCACTTACCTCTGTCCAGACACACATCTTCCAAGACACTCCCCGCCTACAGCTCCTTCTGCTCCAGAAGTAAGTGTTTCTGAATCACATGACTAATTTTGCTCATTATACAATGTCGAATAGGTGTAATAGTTCTATAGAGCATACCGGACTTTAATTTTCCTCCCATGGCTCCTTCAAGTCTTCTCTAGGGTTTTGTTCTTTCTCATCCTTTGGGTGGTATTCCAGATAGTCCGTCCAGCCTGAAAACCATGCAACTCCATCCTGTCCGGAGAAATATTGAAACTCCGAACTCTCATGCATGTAAGCTTTCCTTTAAGCCCAGGATGAGAAACCTGCAGTGGGAAGAGGGATGAGGGCATCAGGTTCTTCTCTATTTCTCCATCCACCTGCTTCCCCACGGGGGAAGTCAGCCCCTTCCAGGGGTCTGGGGAGGAAAGATGAGAGAGTAGGTAGGTTCTACTTGTAGTCAGGACCCAGGGATGGTGGCTTCTGGCCTGGTAATGTCCAAAGTGTCACTCTATCTACCCTCCTTCCTGACTTCTAACAAGAAGGGCAGTGTCCCTTTGAAGATGATCCCAGGCCACTGCTTTTCTGGGAACCCACAGTGGGCCCTGGGTAGTAGGCACCTTTGCTCCATTATCACTCTCAATGTGGCCACTTTTCTCTTTTCTCTGCTAGCTCCAGACCCAACCAGAGTACTTCACGTCAGGGCTTGTCATAGGAAAGGAGGCAGAATATGCCGAGCGCTTATGCCTGGCACATGGTGTGTGTCTATAACATTAGTGCAGATAATGGTGGTTTGTGATGAAGGTGATGGTGATGATGAAAGTGATGGTGATGGTGATTTTGATGATGTTGGCAATGTGGTGTATCGGTGATAGTGATGGTAATGGTGATAATGATGGCCGTGATGATATGCTGATGAGAGTGGTATCTCTGAGTCAGACTCCTCTTTTGAGCTTTAGACTGATGTAACATTGTGTGTGAGACATCAGGTATGGAGCCCAATTGCTTGGGCTCAGAGCCGGACTCTACCACATACTAGCTGTGTGAGTTGGGGCAAGTTACTTAACACTTCTATAGCTCAGTTTCCTTGTCTGTGAAATGATGACAAAAAGGAAATCCAAGGTCAGTAGGAGTTTTGCCCAAAATAAGATTATCTAACCCCTAACAGAATGGTTTTCCCATATACCACCATGGCTCTGGGAATAGTTTTGACCTGATTGTAAAAGCCTGACAATCGACTTTCTGTGTATTTCAGCTGCAACTTGAGTTCCTTCCCTCCTTGGACCCTGCATTCCTCCCAGGTCCTATCCATCAACCTCTTTGGCAACCCCCTCACTTGCAGCTGTGAGTTGTCCTGGCTCCTCATGGATACAAAGAGGACAGTCCTACGCAGGTAACACATTTACAGAGCAGGTGACTGAGGGGTGAGGGTCAGCCTCCCGGAGCTGAAGTTCTCCCAACTCATGTTTTGCTCATAAAAGCAGGCTGGGCAGGTTGGCATTGTTGGAAAGGGCAGCCATCCCCCATGTAGTCACATCCAGGGACCCAGTTGATGGAGGCTCTGCCTCCCTTCCGGTGAGCCAGAGGGGCTGAGAGCTTGGAGGAACAGACATGGAAGTTTCTAATGGGCCAGACCAAGAGGTGGGGCTCATTGCTCCCACTCACATCCATACTTAACTGCAAGGGAGGCTGGGAAATGTAGTCTAGCTGTGTGCCCAGTAGATAAAAGAAATGGGCTAAGTGAATGGTTAGCTTGTCTCTGCCAAAGCAGCATTATTGTTGTCCCATTTTACAGGTGAGTGGATTGGGGCCCAAGGAGGGGAGGTACTTGCTTAGATCTATGCAGCTGCTGGGTGGAAGAGGCAGATTTGATCTTCCTCCAAAACTGAGCTCTTAACCACTGGGCTCCCCTGAGTCCCCCAAATGGAGCCTGGCCTTCTCTATCATCCAGTCCAAGGCCAGTGAGTTTACAGAGTTCTTGTGGGACAGACTGAAGTCCTCTGAAGACTTCTCATTGACTCTTAGCTGGAAGAGCTATTTTTGCAGGAGGGAGCCATGCCCAGGTTAGCCACCAGAAAAGGATGGGGGCTGGGAACACCTCTGGTCTTGAGCACCCTCAAACCAGCTCCACCAGCTAACTTTGAGAGATGCCTCCCCCCCCCCCCCCGTGGGGTTTCTTTTTACACCTTCCACATAAGCCTCGAAACAGGTGGGGCTTAGTCTATCCCCTTCTCCCTTCATGTTGATTCCAAAGACTTTGTATTAATAAAGAGGTTGAGAGTACAGGCTCTTCACACCACTTACTACTGTTCATTTTGGCTGCATTACTTAACCTCTCTGGCCTCCACCTCCTTATCTGTAAAATGGGGATAATAGTGCCTACCTCAAAAAGTAGTGCAGATTATAAATTCATTGATACAGTAAAGTGCTAACAGTAGTCCCTAGCACATGGCAAGCGCTGAGAAAATGTTAGCTAGTATGAGTCCTGTGGCTAATATTCGCGGTCAGGAAGCAGACAGGTGAGAACTCAGAGAATCTGGACTGCCCTTAACAGTGCTGCCCAGGTTTAGGCAGGTAGTTCCTCTTTCTGAGTTTCCATTTCCTCCTCTCCTTCATGAGAGCCTCCTCCACAGGTCGCTTTGAAGGTCAGTGAGGTGATGTGTGTCTGGTGTGTACCTTGGGGTACCTGGTAGACTGTTGACAAGGCTTAGCAAGAGGGATCGTCTGCACTGGGTACTCAAAGGCCAGCACAGAAGCGGCCTAGATGCCAAATACCTTCTAACGAGTTGACCTCCCCTCTAGGGCAGCAGACACTGTGTGCGCACCAGCTGCAGGCTCCGGCGGGGCCTTCTCAGCCTCTCTCCTGCTGTCCCAGCTACCCAGTGTGTGCCACTGGGCCCAGAGCACCACCCTCCTTGACTCCAACCCACCCTCCTCTGGCTGCTCCACCCACACACCACCTACACAGGGTCCTTTCACCCCGCAGAGCACAGCCCTTTCCACTCAAGCTGTGGGAGGCCGACAGAGCGTCACAGAGGCCCTCTCCCACCCTGTGGGTACCCTCTCACAAGCTGTATGGTTGCACAGCAGTGTTGGGGCTGGGGCCACCGCCTCCACGACCATCCCTACAGCAGGTCCCAGAAGCTCCAGTGGTCCACCCAGGTCTGCAAGCACAGCCGAGACAGAGCACGGAGAACATGCTGCCCGGCTTGTCCCTGACCCTAACATCTCAGCTTCCTCCACCCCACCGGCCAGCAAACAACTTGGTCTCTTCCTTGCCTCCCGGAACCCACTGAACACACCCCAGCACAACTGGACGACACAGGCCACCCCGCAGGCTCCCCACCCAAGTCCTTCTGAGGGTGAAATTCCAATCTTGAATTTGGACGACTACAGTGAGGAGGAGGAGGAGCGGAAGGCGGAGAAGGTGGGAGCGCCTCCCCGGGATGTCGCCTGTGACTATCACCCTTGTAAGCACCTCCAGACCCCCTGTGCAGAGCTGCAGAGGCGCCAGTCGTGCCGGTGCCCCGGCCTCAGCCAGGAAGACACTGTCCCAGACCCTCCCAAGCTGCAGGGGGTGTCGGAGACCACCGACACGTCCGCGCTTGTCCACTGGTGCGCCCCTAACTCGGTGGTGCGCAGCTACCAGATCAGCTACTCTCCGGAGGGCTGGCCGGGGAACCAATCGGTGGTAGGGGACATCTATGCCACCGCCAGGCAGCACCCCCTGTACGGGCTGTCGCCCGGCACCACGTACCACGTGTGCGTTCTGGCGTCCAACAGGGCGGGGCTGAGCCAACCGCGGGCCTCGGCCGCGAGGGGTCCGTGCGCCACCTTCACCACCAAGCCCAGCTTCGTGCTCATCTTCGCCGGGCTGTGCGCTGCCAGCGGCCTGCTGCTCCTCAGCACCCTGCTGCTGTCCGCCTGTCTCTGCTGGCGGCGCCGCAGGCCGCACAGGCAGGGCGACACGCACCTGGTGGCCTACAAGAACCCAGCCTTTGACTACCCGCTGAAGCTCCAGACCTTTACTTAGCTCAGCTTCCCGCCTCCAGCCGAACTCGAGCTGAGAAACTGGCCGCCTGCGTGCAGAAAAGAAGATACAGAGGGTCCAACAGGCCCTGTCAGCTGCGAGCGTCTCTAATTCCCGGGAGGCCAAGCACTCCTCCGGCCCACGGAATTGGCCAAGCTGGGTGTTCCAGCCCGAGGAGCTTTCCTTCCTTCTACCTCCCTGTGTCTGTTTCCGGAAACGTGATGGCCCGCATTTTTTAATAGCAATCAGTGCTCCTGGTGTCCAGAATTGTGTGTGGAAGTAAGAGGAGATAAAACAAATTGTATAATCCAGGCTCCTATACTAGATTAGAAGTGACATCCTCAAGTCATTTTAGGAAGTTGAGGGCATTATATTAAGTGAAATAAATTTCCTCATGGTCAAGCTCTGGCAAGGGACGTGTTTGTTATTCGAGGAATCAACTAGAGCGGATTCTTAATGTTTGTTCCAGGAATCAACTCGAGCGGATTCTTAATCTAAGAGCTGGGGATGAAGGGGAAGAACAATGGTTGTTTCCCCAGGCCTTTGGAGTTTCTTGGTTGCATTTTAGGATATGGAAAAAATGTGAAAACCAGTCTTTTCAGGTCCTTTGCCCCCCCCCCCCCCCCGCGCTTTTTTTTACATTGAATTGTTTGCTTTTTTGGTGTTGAGTTTTATAAGTTCTTTATAAATTTTGATAGTAACCCCTTATCAGATATATCATTGGCGAATATGTTCTCCATTCAGTGGGTTGTCTTTTCATTTTGTTGATGGTTTCCTTTGCTGTGCAAAAACTGTCGTTTTATGTAGGCCCATTTGTTTATTGTTTTTCGTTTGTTTGTTTCCCTTGCACAAAGTGATATATCAGAAAAAATATTGCTATAAGAAATGTCTAAGATTTTACTGCCTATATTTTCCTCTAGGATTTTTATGGTTTCACGACTTACATTTAAGTCTTTTATCCAATTTGGGTTTATTCTTGTATATGATGTAAGAAGGTGATCTAATTTCTTTTTTTTTTACATGTAACTGTCCAATTTTCCCAACACCATTTACTGAATAGACTATCTTTACCCCGTTGTATGTTTCTGCCTCCTTTTGTCAAATACTAATTGATTATAAAGTGTGGATTTATTTCTGGGTTTACTATTCTGTTCCACTGATCTACAAGTGCTTTTATGCCAGTCTCGTGCTGTTTTGATTGCTATGCCTTGTAGTATAGTTTGATATCAGGTAGCATGATTCCTCCAACTTTGTTCTTCTTTCTCAAGATTGCTGTGGCTATTTGGGGTCTTTTGTGGTATGCACCCTTATGTTTATTGTAGCATTATTTACAATAGCCAACATTTGGAAGCAGCCCAAGTGCCCATCAGTAGATGAGTGAATAAAAAAGCTGTGGTGCATTTACACAATGGAATATTACTTGGCCATAAAAAGAAAATCTTACCCTTTGGGACAGCATGGATGGACCTGGAGAATATTATGCTAAGCAAAATAAGCCAATCAGAGAAAGACAAGTACCATATGATTTCACTCATATGTGGAATCTAATGAACAAAATAAACTAACAAACAAAATAGAAACAGAGAGAGAACAGACTGACAGCTGTCAGAGGGGAGGGGGTTGTGAGGTTGGGTGAAAAAGGTGAGGTGATCAAGCAAAAACCAACAACAAAAGACTCATAGACACAGACAACAACATGGTGATCACCACAGGGGAAGAGGAGTAGAGGGAGGTAGAAGGTAGTACGGGAGGATAAATGGTGATGGAAGGAGACTTGACTTGGGGTGGTGAACACACAATGCAATATACAGATGATATATTATAGAATTGTACACCTGAAACCTATATAATTTTATTAACCAATGTCACCCCAATGCATTAAATAAAAAAAGTCTTCTAGGAACACTTATGAAACACAGGAAAGCTATCCTATTTAAAGTCTTTTGTGGTATGCTGAACCTCCTCCTCTTTTTTTGGTTTAAGAAAGCATAATGGGCTCACTTTCAGGAACTTTTTTTAGAGAGAAGAAATGAGCAAAAGAGAACCTCAATCTAGCTAGAGGCCAAAGCATTTCTCTGCTCCTAATTGCATCAAAAAATACCTCATGATTTGTATCCGTGTGTGGAATATACGACACCCTTATTCACTTGTATATCTTAGGGGGGAAAGTTGTTTTTGTAAAATTATAACGGGGGTCATATTTCTAGATTTGTATATTTTAATTTTCTACATTAGCATTAACTTTCTGTTGGCTATCCTAACTTGTTAGCACAAACTGCATGCCTTAAAACAACTGAAATTTATTCTCTTACAGTTCAGGCCAGAAATCATCAATCAAGGGATCAGCAGGGTTGGCTCCTCCTGGAGACTCGCAGGGAGAATTGTTCCATGCCCCTCTCCTAGCTCCTGGTGGCTGCTGGCAATCCTTGGTGTCCCTTGGCTTGAAGATCTATAACTCCAATCTACGTATTCATTCCTCTGTTGTCTCATGACGTTGTGTCCAAATTTCCCTCTTTTCTATTATTTCCCCCCTGCTTCTTGAGATATGTGACATAAAACACTAAGTTTGAGGTGTACAATGTGATTTGCTATATGTATATATTGGGAAATTATTACAATAAGGTTAATAAACACATCCATCACCTGACCGTTACCAAGATCTACTGTCTTAGCAACTTTCAAGTATACGATACATTATTGTTAACTATAGTCACCACGCTGTCTTCTCTTGTAACTGAAGTTTGTATACTTAGACTAGCTTCACCCATTCTCCCTACCCCCACCCCTGGGAATCACCAAACTGTCTCTGAAGGCTTTTTTTAGATTCCACATTTAAATTAGATCATAATTTGTCTTTCTTTGACTTATTTCACTTAATATAATATCCTCAAGTTCCATATTATTGCAAAAGGCAGGATTTCCATTTTAAAAAAATAATATTCCATTGTATGTTTTCTGTATCCATGCAGCCACTGATGGACAAGTTAGGTTGTGTTTTTTAAAAAAAATTTTTTCTTTATTAATTTTAGAGAGAGAAGTAGGGAGAGATAGAAACATCAATGAGCAAGAACATCGATTGGCCACCTCCTGCATGCCCCCCCACTGGGGACCAGGCCCACAACCTGGGCATGTGTCTTGACTAGGAATTGACCTGGTGACCTCTTGGTGCACGAGTCGATGCTCAACCACTGAGCCACATTGGCCGGGCAGGTTGTTTTTGTCTTTTGTAAATAATGCTGCAACAAACATGAAGATATTTCTTCAAGATAGTGATTTTATTCCCTTCAAATACCCAGAAGTCAAAGTTCATTCTTACAAGGACATTAGGCATTGGCTTAAGGCCGACCAAATCCAGAAAAACCTAACTTGATTACATCTGCAAGGACCCTATTTCCAAATGTCACATCCCAGGAGCCACGGATTAGGACACATCTTTTTGGGAAACACAATTAAACCCACAATAGCATTTATTTGTACTGTAAAAAGTAAAAAATCAAGTTTAGTTCTCATGTATCTTTTGTTCCCAAAATGTGATGCTGTACAAAAACCCTGCTGCAGAAACTGAGCATATCCAAGTTTGACCTGAATAACTGTACTACATATTTCCAAATGTCTGAAGTTTTGAAAAAGCTCCCCCAAATTCTCAAGTGTATCACTAGGTTCATCACATATGTGACCAAGAGAACTGGACTAAGTGATTTAAAAGATATCTACCAGTTCCTGATTAAAAATGGAAAAGTTAAAAAAAAAATTGCACAGCAAAATCCAGAAATGTGACTAGCCTCAAGTCTTCACAGATGCAATTAATTATCCCGATGCTTTTTAGGCTTACTATCAAGATTGAGTCTGCATTTATGGCACTTCATGAACAAAATAAGCTGTCGATCAAGAGACCCAGAGTCATGGAAGTAGGGAACAGACTGACAAAACCTCAGAGGGATGGGGGTGGGAGGAGTGGGAAGAGATAAACCAAAGAACTTATATGCATATATGCACAACCAGTGGACACAGACATTAGGTTGGGGAAAGCAGGAAGGGGGGCGGTGGGAGCAGGGAGGAGGGGATCACTGGGGGAAATAAGAGGGACATCGGTAATACTTTCAACAAAAAAATAATTTAAAAAAAAGATTGAGTCTGCCGTGCTTTGAGTCTGTATGCACAATCATACAAACACGCACGCCTAACATAATGTCAATGTGTTCTAAACTCACAGAATTTACATGTTTTATAGCAGGAGACTTGGGCCATTATTCTAAGGGTTGAAGTAACCAAGGAATATTAAACAAAGCCAAGTGAGACCCTTAATTCTAAAGAGACTGAGTCCAACCCATAAGTTACTCCAAATAGCATCAATAGTAAACTGTATATAGCACAGTAAAGTGCAAAATCCTAGTCTTTCCCATAACTACTTTATTTCAAGTTCTCCCACTTTGGAACACCATTTTGTGTGCTCACACTTTGCTAGTGCCAAGACATGCTCAATGCGCCTCTTGGGTGGTCAAGACTTCTACCTTTAGCCTCACCACCTCCCAGGCTGACTATATAGGAGGTTCCAGAAGGAAAGACCGACTAGCACATGCCACCTTTCTCCCTTTCACCGCCCTCCATTAGATTCAACAGCAGTGTCCTCGCCTGAAGGCTTCAGTGTGTTCCAAGCCAACAATGGGTGAACAGCTAGTTTGGGAACAAGGAAGCCGGGACCAGCAGGCAAGAGGGGCACAACTGATCCAAGGATGCCACCAAGAGGCATGCGTTTTGCTTATAACTTCCCATTCTAATTTCACACAGCTCAACAGGCTGTTTAGATAACTGCATTAACTAAATAATTCCACACTACACTTGAAATTAGAACCTGGGACAACAGACAGCAATAGGTCTCCCCGAAAAGAGGGAGCACCAGCCCTTGTCTTCCTCTTCCTTCACCCTGTACCTCCCGTTCTAAATATGCTGGTGCAGTGAGAATAAGGGCTTTTAAGACAGATGGTCTCAAACCAGTTACTTTTACAATGTGAGTGCAAGTGATATATCTGAATGGACTTTATGAATCAGAAAACTAACGCAACAGAGGACTATAGTATGCTATGTACAAACAATCCAAGATGAAAGTACATTTTTTTCCAGCACTTTTATTCTTTCAACATCTGAACAAAAGAATATTCCTCAGTTTAAAAATCTTGAAAAAATAGTTTCATATTATTTACATAACATGAGTACAGGTTCCAGTTATCATACAAACATTGCTATGTTAGAAATACAGTGGGAAGGCATGATATATTCACCGCCTCTTGGATGATGTAGGCTCATGGATATGTTTTCATATTCCAACTGCCCCTGTTACTTGTTAACCTGATAAATAAACTATTAGGCACCTCAGAGGTTGGAAGACTACTGAACATGAACTTCAATACCCTCTATTTTGATCTTTATAATCTCTTTACAAGTTTACTTCATCTACAAACTAAGCTACCTTTATTTTCATTATCCTAAATGATCAAATATTAACCACATGAACTGTTAATATGTACACCAATCAAATTAAACATAAAATTGTGTAGCCCAGTTGTGTAGGCTATATATATTTAAACCCAGGAAATTCCCTAGTTTCCATGCTCTGGACTATTTTTTTTTTTTTTTAATTATTTTAATAAATGACTGACAGTAATTGGAATTAATTGGTTCCTTGTAAGTTAATCAAGAAACCTAAGATAAAAAATTCTAAATGATAGTTTTATTTGTATTTAAAAATACATTGGAAATTCTGCATATGCCCATGATCAAGCTTATTTTCAATGCACATTAGTTAAACACTGATGACATGGTTTGTTCTGACAAGTCCTTTTCAAGCTGAACACCAAAATAGGGAACTTCCTGTATATTCCTCCTGGCCCTGCCGCCAGTGATGCATAGTGCTTCTTTGCTCATGAGATGAGGGATGACCTTCATCTGCCTTTTATCACCTGAACAGTTTTCCGGCCATAATGATAGTAACTGTAAGCTGATGCAACCGTGGTGGAGGCTGTGAAACACCTTTAAAGGAAAGAAAGAAAATTTAGTTGTCAAGTCTAAAAATCACAACTGTGAGAATCATAAAAAATACATTTCAAAGAGTTATTTAAAAGGTAAAAAAGCGCCCTGGCCGGTTTGGCTCAGTGGTCAGAGCATCGGCCTGCAGTCCAGAGAGACCCGGGTTCGGTTCCCGATAAGGGCACGTACCTCGGTTGCAGTTTGTCCCCGGCCCTGGTTGGTCGTGCGGGTGGCAGCCACTCGATGTGTCCCTTTCACGTCGATGTTTTTCTCTCTCTCTCTCTCTCTCTTCCTCTCTCTCCCTCCCACTCTATCTGTGCAAAAAATGGAAAAAAATGTCCTCGGGTGAGGATAAAAAAAAAGTAAAAAAGCTCTGTGGTCTAAATATTCTTTTAACTCCAAGAATTTAAAGAAACTGCTTTTCTTTAAGTAGTAGTAATGTCAAACAATCTAGTTCATAAGCCCGAGAAAATAATGACAATACTGGCAACTGTCACTTTCACCCAGACACTCCTCTAGGGGTGTGACATTTTCATCTCACTGTCACCACAAGCTCGTCACCTAGAGGCAGAAAGAGCCCGGAGAAGTGGCTCAGAACCACATGGAGCCGGCCGGGCTTCAACTCAGGAGCCACTGCCCTTTCCACGGCTGCACGCTGCTTAGAGCATCAGACCCTTTTCCTGAATATCTGAGTGGCTGAAAAGAAACTGCAGCTTTCTTTTCTGATTGTTCCTTAAGTGCACTGCAGACCAGCCAGACTCTTCCTTTGAAATCCGGTCGGTGCGCTGGGCTTGCTGAGCGCTCAGGGAGAACAGGCTACTTTCACCACATCCTGCACTGCCGCTCCCACAGGTCAGGTGTAAGCCATCGAGACGATGTTTATTTGATCCCAAAGCTGTTTGTGACAGTTTCATGTTCTAAATTCACATATACACCAACAAAACAAATCAGCATGAAAGGTTGCTGTTTTCTGAGAACTAAGTTGGATGCTCTGGAAAGACTTGATAATAAGGTGAGTTGCTAAAAAATACTATCAAAGTAAGCAGGTAACATGATTGTTAAAAATACTAGAGAAAATGTTACAAAATCTAGAAAATTTATATTCAGACTCCTTTGTAAATGTCTTAAAGTCTTACACCACTTTAAAATATGCAGAACATGCCCTGGCCAGAGTTGCTCAGTGGTTAGAGTGTGGCCCTCAGACTAAAGAGTCTCGGGTTCAACTCCCGGTCAAGGGTTCGTACCTGGGTTGCAGGTTTGATACCTGGCCCTGGTCAGGGTGCTTGTGGGAGACAACCAATCAATGTGTCTCTCTCACACTGATGTCTGTCTTCTCTCTCTCTCTCTCTCCTTCCCTTCCATTCTCTCTCAATATCAGTAGAAAAAATATCCTTGGGTGAGGATTAACAAAACAACAACAAAAAAAGAATGTTTAATCATAAACAGTCCATAGCTTTACCCAGTTGGTGCTCAATAAACACTGTAAGAACAAAGTAATTCTAGGACTGCCACAAAAAGCCATTTTGTCAACATTCTCAACAAATTGTAAATCTTAATTTAGCTTACCACAATATCTGAAGATAAATGCTATCAGCATAATTGAAAACTGGAGCTGCCAAAGAAGCTGCCACCAAGATTAACTGGACTGCTGTGTTTACCTTAAAAAAAAAAAAAAAAAAAAGTCATAAACAAACAGTGCCAATCAGACCCTGTTTCAAGCCCACAAGACAGAGTAACACACCATCCCCTCAGCAGGCTGAATGTCTAATATTCCTGCCAAAGAAGCTGGAATTCACACAAAATTCACTAACTGGCCCATCTGTCTGCACAGCTGCTCTTTACAGCGAAGAAAAGGGCAACTGTCAGAAAATACCACTATCTCGAATTTCCATAGCAATTCAGGATGTTGTAATATTCTTTGCTTTTATTTTCTGCCCATTAAAACAGCCCTGTGAATACGGAAATAATTTCATAGGTGAACGGGTAATGGAATTAGTGACGTGACTTGCCTACAGCCAGAGCAGGTTACAGGTCTAAACCCAGAACCCAGATTTCCTGACACTCCATTCAATGCTATCACTTGCCTATCTGTCAATTCATGAGGTGAGAACAATGAAATGCATACATTTCCATGAGGGGGGCTCTCTGGAGGAAATGAGGTTTCCCCACCCTAAAAGACAGCATGGAGGACAAAGAAAAGAACCAGAAAGACACTGGAGACCCCTCTGCTCATCACGAGAAGTGTTCTGGGGAAGAGTGGGTGAACTGTGATCAGCGGGCGATGTGCCTAGAGAAGCAGCCTTGTTCTATCATAGCCACCTGAGGTCAAATTACAAAATTCTACTTTGTTTTAAAAATAAATAATAAAAATTGCCTGGAGAACTTCTTACAAGACCAAGGATTTGAAGTATTTGTCCCTCCACTTCTTTAAGCCACTTTCTATCTGTATCAAACTGCTGTATGTGATACAATTATAAGTCACCTGAATTAAAAAACAAAAACAAAAAACCCAATCCACATATGTAGGTAAAGGTCCACCCTAGGGAGTCCCTGGTTTAAAAGTAATCATCCTTCTGTCCCAAAGATGACTGGTGTCCCCAGCCTGTTAAACCTCCAACTAAGGAAGAGACATAAGAATGAACAGAGTAAATTTATCAAGGCTAACAGAAAAATAAATGTGCCTCGAGAGCCATTAACAGAGTCCTCTGTGTGCAAAGACTGGCTCACAGCTATTGTCCTGAAGTGGGCTCAGGAAAACAGGATGGACAACTAAGAATAGCAGTTGTTTATTACACTGTGAATAAAACTTTTCTTTTGCATGTAACAATTGATCTTGAAAAGAAACGAACTTTATTATATGTTGCTTTCACCACAGGGAAGTGGGTACAGAAACCAGAAAGGAACCTCGTAACCTCTTTGTGTCAGTCTAACTTCCCTAAATGGTGGCCCTATTACCTTAACTTAAATTCTCAGACCACTAACACAAAACACAACGAATATACTCAAGATCTAAAAAGCTTTGAGAACAAAAAAATTCAGGTAATGACTTCACTCTCTGTCCACTACAGTCAATGCATTTAAATCTGTCTCATTTTCAGTTGCTCCAGACTGAGGTTTGTATTCATCGTAATAGACTTAAAAGGACATCATGTGTCTCTTACCTTGCTGATGAAGGTTGGTTTTAACCTAGCAGTGGCATAACAAGGATTGAAATACTTAGAAAGTGTTCGCTGGCAGAGGACAAAAAAAAGATAAAGTTTACTCAATTCAGCATTCAATTTAAAATAAACATTTTGTTGTTACATGTAGGTACTAGTGACTGAGTACTGACCACAAGACTGGCTCTATGCTGTGATAAGCCCTGTTTCTGCACCTTCTATTTTCCTAAATGAGCATTATCTACATCCTTTATAAATCATACACGGGTTACTGAAAATAGGTTTTAAAAATTAATCGATTTGTCAATTCCTATAAAATTCTAACACAATAACTATCATAAAGTCTGCTTGATATCTCTACTAAATAGATTCAATAAATCTCCTTATCACTATTTTCTTTTATAGACTAAAAAACAAAATGAGCCCTGGCCGGTTTTGCTCAGTGGTTAGAGCATTGGCCTGCAGTCCAGAGAGACCTGGGTTCGGTTCCCGCTAAGGGCACACACCTCGGTTGCAGTTTGTCCCTGGCCCTGGTTGGGTCGTGCGGGTGGCAACCACTCGATGTGTCCCTTTCAAGTCAATGTTTCCCTCTCTCTTTCTCTCTCCCTCCCACTCCATCTGAACAAAAAATGGAAAAATGTCCTCGGGTAAGGATTAAAAAAACAAAAAACAAAATGAATAAAATACTGCTATGTTCACTGAATTGGGTGCCAAAAGATGAGGTCATTATTATGCTTCAAATATTTGTAAAATCAATAAAGAAATATGCAAATAAACCATTCCATGTCCATATACCTGTGATTTTTAAAATCAGCTCTAGACAATCCACAATACTGGCTCGATTAGACAGCAAACTCATAGAGTTTGGATGGGGCTAGCTGGTCTGGGTTTTATGTGCTATCATCTGAAAGGATTTGAACTAAAACAAAAACATGCCTGTTTTAAATCAATTATTCATGTGTTCACTGAATTACCAAAGCAAGATGATAGTTAATGTGTTTTTAAAAAATTCTTGGTAACTAGATTTAAAAATAACTGCCATAAATTATCCCCATAAAGTGAAACTCAAGATACAACAGAGTGATTCTTTCTTTTTGTCTTAAGTGCTAAGTAATAATAAAAGAATATTTTCTTTGAAACAAACTCACCGGTGTTGGAAGAGTTCGATATCTGACATAAAAAACAGCAGCAATCAACATCACATCTCTTGAAATGATCATATATGTAAGTGGAACTGAAAATCAAATATAAAATAATTTTGATTTTGATTTTTTAAAATTACTAAGATAATATACATACAATAAAGCCTCAGTTAGCTTTACTATAAACTGGTATTTCTCATAAGAAAAATTTTCATTTTTTATGAACCCCTATTGAAGGTTCAGGATCCTTAGGGTGAACCTGATTTTCATCTTCGTTAACCTGCACTCAAAACAAAGTGAAGAAGAAACTATGGCTTTCGAATCTATGTCTGCCTTTCAGAATGCTGATCTCCTAGGCCTCTTTTTGTTTGTTTTTTTCTTGCATGTGTTTGTTTTAAAGCTGCAATTAGTTATCAGTATCAGCACGAATTTTGTTATTTCTCAGCGTTGTGGGTTTGGGGAAAAGATCACCATGCTCACTGAAATTACATGGAATAAATGGTGAAGAGTTTGGAAAGGATGTCAGGATTCAACCATTCTGGCGTCTTAGGACCTCTGATTGTTTGCTCCTGCATTCTGGACAACTTTGTAATTAGTAAAATTTGTTATATGTACCACATGTGGAGAAACAAAATATTCTCATTCTTGCCTGGGCCAGTTCCTACCCCAACAATGGCTATTTTTCTCCTGTCCTGTTCATTCAATGATTTCTAATTAAACATGAATTCAACTTGTCAATACTTTCTCATTATTCCCAAGAATCCACAGCATGACCCCAGAGTCAGAGCCTGCAGATGGATATTTCAGATGGATACCCAAGGAACCCCTACTCCTCCCCTATTGACTGAGCATGGGGAGACAGGACACTTGTTTCACTTTTATACCCTTCTGTGCTGCAAGAAGTCTTAACCATGAACATGCATCATTTGTATAAGGGAAAAATTATCTTTTTTAAAAGGGGGGAGAACCCTGAGCCTAAAACGCAGTTCAAAATGTTTCAATTACTAAAATAAAGGTTCATGTATACCTCCCCCTTCCATAATACTTTCAAACAGCTCTTTTATGAAATCCTTTTGACGTTATACTTATGGTCCTTTATAATTTTGACATTCTGTGGATTCTGCAACTTGAGAAAAATCTCACTGATGAGTTACAGATTTAAAATGTAAATCTCTGCTGGTCACAGCTATAATATTTTGATCCTTGGCCTGGTCCTGGATAACAAGATTATTCCACAGAGAAAATGGTTATCCACACAATGTATGGCATTTGGAGCATTCAGAAGACACAACTATATGAACCAAGTAACAAAAGCCAGCCTGCCATGATTTTTAGGGGTATTTTTGTGCCTGTAAAACAAACTTTTAACAGCACTCCATTAGCTAGCAACACCTAACAGCAATCAGATTTTAAAATGCAGCAAACTCAATCTTGAAGACTGGAAACTTGCTTTGGGTACATATACTTGACTACTTACCCCTGAGTCAACCCTAAGAAAAGAACTGGCATGATGGTAGGTGGGAGTCAGGGAGAGGAAGCTTAGTAACACCAGAAGAGCCGATCTGGGGAGCGCCTGCAAACGTGACATTCCTAACTCATGTCTATTTTGATGTTGCTTATTTCAGAAACAATTAGGTAAGCAAAACTCCCAGATATGACTGAGACACAATAGAATGAAGCTATACCCCCTCCTCCAACCTGTTGAAAGTACAATTTTGTGCAGTTTTACTAGTGTTATGACATTTGAAATGGAGCTCTGTTTTGTTTTTTAATCCTCACCTGACGGTACTTATTTTTCCATTTATCTTCAGATGGGGGGGTACAAATCGGACTGGTTGCCTCCCACACAACCCTGACCAGGGCCAGGGCTGGGAACAACTGCAAATGAGGTACGTGCCCTTGACTGGAATCAAACCCACAAATCTTTGGTCTGCGGGCCGACGCTCTAACCGCTCAGCCAAACTGGCCCGGGTGTTTTGTTTTTAATATGAGTATGCCTAATTGAAAATAAAATAAAATGCAGCAAACTCACTCAAATTACATATAGTAAATCTCCTAAACAACTAATCATCCTAAACAGATGAATATAAATAACTATTAATGTATGTAATGACCATGGGAAAAAACAAGAATATGACTTAATCCTAGATAAGATTTCTGCAGAAGAGAAGATGAGACGATTCAATCCACTCCTAAAACTCGGGTTCCAGTTCTATTAGCTACCCCAACTACAATTTATTAAGCATTGTTTTTAGTATTCCATACCTATTATGTCATTTAATCTACATATCAACTACAGAAAACAGGGATCATCATTATCCCCACTTCACAAACAGGGAAGCAAGCCTCAGGCAGGTTATATGACCTGGCCAGTCACCAGTCAGCTGGCACAGCCGGGAGGGGGCCTGGCTCTGGAATTCACAGCCCATGCTGGGCACTGCATTACGCGCCAATCCACCAGTGCAACCGACAATCAGCATCTCGACTCAATTTACCATCGGCAACAGTCTGGTTGAGGAAAGGACTGTTAAGATACAAGAACCTTGGGAGAGCTTCATAAAAAGCTCAGGTGACAGGTCCGAGGGGGATTCACAGGCTGGGACCCTGCTGCACTCGGTGATCTCTTAGGCCTCTGCCAACTGGCAGTATTTTTTTTCTTATCCTCAACTGAGGACATTTTTCCATTTTTGTTCATGTAGGGTGGGAGGAAGAGAGAGAAACATCGACGTGAAAGGGACACATTGAGTGGGTGCCTCCCGCAAGACCCCAACCGGGGCAGGGGACAAATTGCAACCGAGGTACGTGTCCTTAGCGGGAACCGAACCCGGGTCTCTCTGGACTGCAGGCCGAAGCTCCAACCGCTGAGCCAAACCAGCCAGGGCCCAACTGGCAGTATTTACGAAGGCTCTTACTTTGGTTCTTGAGACAAGTTTATCCAGTTCCCTGGCTTTCAATCGTCTAAGTTATCCTGCTTTCTCTTCCCTTTTCTTCCAGGGCTAAAACAGCTTTCGTTTTGCCTATCAGAGTGTGACACGTGTGAGTGGGGGTAGGAAGGTATAAAACCTGTCAAGGGTTGCTCCAAGGTTTTTTTCTCTACTTGCTAACTCTGTCTGAATTAGTTAATGTCTGCAACAAGAAGTGCACCATGGGCAAATTTTATTAGCATTAAAGAGAGATAATAAAATTAGGTCACTTGTACATATTACAAGTGGTCATTATCAATATCATAGGTCATTACATTGAAAATAATAAACTTTAAAACAGATTATTCTAGAAATTGATTTAAACTAGCAATGAGAAGTTGCTATGAGTAAAGAAGAAATAACAGTGCTATGGAAAGGAATTACTACTACTTAGTAAATGTGGCAGAATATGCGTAAGTAGAAATTAACTTAGATTCATATCCTACACTATCATAAATATAACACATAAAAGAATTTTTTTTTTTATCTTTCTCTTCTCTTCCAGAGAAAGAACAGGAGAGCCAGATTATTTATTATCCTAGCTGAGGAAGAAAGCAAATTTCTTCATCTTGAGTAAGCAGGCCACTCAAATCAAAGTGGATGGAACTTTTACAAAAAAGCAATATAAAAAGAAGATACGAGACTGCACTCATGCACCTCTTTCCAAACCCACCTAAAATGACAGTAAAGGAATGAAAGGATCTAAGTCACAGAGACAAGAAGGATGGGTAGAGGAGACGAATATCAAGTTTTGACTCAGTTTATTAGTAGTAAATACCTTAATAGAGTGGGGAGAGCTGAAAACTAAATTATTCACCAAGGGATGGTCACAAGAGGCAGGCACTTGGATCCGTCCCGAAGCCCTCCCTCCTCCCCCTTGGCCCCCTCCTCCAGGTTTCTTCTATACCAGGGCTGTGGGTCCTTGCAGCTAAGAGTGGATTTTACAATTTTACATGGTTGTGGGGAAAAACCCAAGGGTACTATTTTGTGATAAATGAAAATTATACGAAATTCAATTCCTAGTGTCAATAAGAAAAGTTTTATTGAAACACGGCCACACTTATTCACTACTATATGTTCTATGGCTGTGTTCACACTACAACAGCAGAGTTTAATGGTTGCTAACAAAGACCACAGCCCACAGAGCCTCAAACATTTCTATCTGGCCCTTTACAGAAAAAGTGTGCCAACTCTTGTTCTCCATGTTCTCTCTGAACATAGGGCTCACTGGGGTCCAGGGGGATTAAGTGACGATCAACATTTTGAAAACTGAGAGACCCTCCCACCCCGAGCTTCTTCCCATAGCTTAGCTTCCAAAACATGGGGGGCAAGAAGAGCTCTTCTCTACAGAATAGAACTAAAGGTACCGAGAATTCAGGGCCATGCCTAGAGGGAAACACACTAGCCAACAAATTCCACCAATGCTCAGAGCTCATTAACATTTCGTGCCTCCCTAAAATATAAGAAGGCAGCCAAAGATAACCAGACATTTCAGTCAAGTCTCCATCACAAAAGAAAGACTGAACCAAACGGAAAAAAAAGGGAGGCGGGGAGGGTTTCAAAGAATGACGTCAAAAAAACCCAAAATCTTAAAAATAAAAATAAATACAGACGGGTTCTGAAAAACGCATCGTTAGGTGGTATCGTTGTACAAATGTCACAGGAGCGTACTTAGGCAAACCTAGATGACCCAGCCGACTACACATGTAGGCTATATGGCACAGCTATTGATCATGGGCTACAAGCCTGTACAGCATGTTACCGCACAAAGCAACTCAAGATTAAATCACACACAAGAGAGAATGATGCAATCGAGATGGAGGAAGCACAAGATGTATGAAGCTGCTGCCACTGACACATGGCATCCTGTTTTACAGTAAACTTTTCTTTTTAGTAAGTAGAAAGAGTATATAACAATTAAAAATATAAAATATTAAATACATAAACTAGTAGCACAGTAACTTATTAAAGTATTGTGTGCTGCACATAATTGTATGTGCGACACTTGTACGACAGGGAGTGCATGTCTGTTCACACCAGCATCACCACAAACACACGAACAAGGTACTTGCTCTATGACATAACAATGGCTTCAACATCACTAGGTGATAAAGATTTTTGGTCATTAT